CTCTCTCTCTCTCTCTCTCTCTCTCTCTCTCTCTCTCTCTCTCTCTCTCTCTCTCTCTCGTTTTTTCTCCACTCAAAGGGTTTTTGTGCTAATAAGTTGGTATCTAGAGCTTCTGGTTCATTTTCTTGATCATAAATTCAAGAACTGCATGTCGATAGTCGTATTTCTGGGGATCGTGAATCGCATTCACGACAAAGATGAATGGTAGAAATGGTATTCTTAATTCTCTTTCAATGATTGATGGGAAAAAATGGATCTGATGGAGAAAACAGATGCAGACATTGTATAGTTTTCAAGAAACCCTATAAGTGGTTACTAATGGTGTTCATGAATTTGCTCAAAACGCAAACGATGCTCAGAGAGCTACTCACAAAAATTCAAAGAAGAAAGATTGCAAGGATGTGTTCTATATTCAATCTCCAGTGGATCCGCAAAATTTTAATCAGATTTCTCATGCTGAATTGGCAAAGGAGGCATGAGATTTTATTGTCAAGTATTATAAAGGTTGTGAGAAGGTTAAAGTTATCAAATTGTAGACACTGCGAATGTAGTATGAGTTACTGCAGATGGAAGAATATAAAAAGATTGCAGTCTATATCTCGAAGGTGCAAAATCATGTTCATCTCATGAAAGGTTGTGGTGAAGTTTTAACTAATAAGATGTTAGTTAAGAAGGTAATGCGTGCATTGACCTCACACTTTGATTATATTATCATAGCCATTCAAGAATCCAACAATATTGAAACCTTGAATCCTCAAAAGCATAAGGTTGACAATAAGGCTTATGAATCCTCAAAAAGAGAAGAAGGAACCCCTTATCAGAAAGACAAACAAGAGAGAAAAAGTGTGCAATGCTATAACTGTGAAAAGTAGGGCCACTTGGCTAAAAATAGTTGTTACAAGAAAAACCAGGGAGAGGCAAAAGGCAAGGACAATGAAGAAGAAAACTTCCACGTCAAGATTAAGATGATTCTGATGGTATGTTGTTTATGATTGCAGTTTCAGATGAGCATGTCGACCCTAAGACCTGATTCCTCGACACGAGCGGCTCGAATCACATAACTGGTCAAAGAGTGTGGTTAGCAAATTTTGACGAGTCGAAGAAGAGCAAGGTCAGACTTGCAGATAATAGCTTATTACAAGCAGAAGGTACTTGCAATATAGTCATTCAAATGAGTAATGAAGCACAAGCTATGATCAAAGTTCTACTATATGTACCTGGAATGAAGTATAATCTACTAAGTGTTGGACAATTGGTCGAAAAGGTTTCTCAGTGGTTATGAAATATGGAGTCTTTAAGTTGTTCGACACCTATAATAACTTGGTCTTAAAATCTCCTCTTTCAAAGAATAGGACATTTCAGACCATGATCAGTTCGACTGAGGTACAATGTCTAAAAATAGTTGTCGACAACAAGCATAATTGGTTTTCAAAACATGAAGAAGAAGAAATGTTGTTGATGGTCAGAACAAGATATGAAGAAAGATTCAAGGACCAATGGTACTTGGACTCAGTATGTCATCACACATGACTGGTAGGAAATATTGGGTTGTCGACATAAAACCTTTGATGAAGAACATGGTGCAATTTGCAAATGATAATACCCTATTAGTTGAAGGTATTGGTTATGTTCTGATTATGAGGAAAGATGGAAAAATGTCAGTAATTTCCAATTTATTATACATACCAGGAATGAAGAGTAATTTTCTCAGCCTAGAACAGTTGGTCAAAAATAATTACAAAGTGTCGATTAAAGACAAGATGATGAGAGTTCTCGACTCATGTGGAAGTTTAATCTTGAAGGCTCTCGTGTCTCAGAATAGAACCTTCAAGATTGAACTTAATGTGATGGAGCACAAGTGCATTACAACTACAGTTAGCATGGATGAATGGATATGGTACTATAGACTTGGTCATCTCAACTTCAAAGACATCAGAGATCTGAAAAGAAGAAATATGGTTTCAGGGTTACTAGAAATCGATATTCCAAATGAAGTGTGTGAGGGATGTGTGAGGAAAAGCAGTACAAGAATAGCTTCAGCAAGGATGCATGAAGCAAGTTGAAGGCAATTCTTGAAATCATATACTATGATGTGTGTGGTCCTATCCAGGTGGATCTAATTGGAGGTAACAGATACTTTGTCACGTTCATAGATGATTTCAATCGAAAAATGTGGACTTACCTGATCAAGAAGAAATGTGAAGTCGTCGAGGTATTTGTCAAGCTTAAATCTATGGTCGAAAGACAAAGTGGTAGAAAGCTCAAGATTCCGAGGACTGATGGTGGTGGAGAATATGTGTCAAAAGACTTCAACACATTATGTGAGAAAGAAGAGATTGTGCATGAGGTGGTGCCACCCTACACTCCACATCTTAATATAACTGCAGAAATGAAGAATATAACCATCATGAATATAGTGAGAAGTATGTTGAAAGGCAAGCATCTATCCAAAGAATTATGAAGAAAAGCTGCGTCGACTACAACATACATACTGAATAGATGTCCAACGAAGAAGCTAAAAGGAATTAGGCCAGAAGAATGTTGGTCTGATGTCAAACCCATCTTAAGTCATCTGAAAGTATTTGGATATATAGCACATAAATATGTGTCTGATCAGTTGAGAAGAAAACTTGATGATAAGTCAAGTCAAATAATCCTAATAGGATATCATTCGACTGGAGGATATAAGTTGTTCGACCCAATGAACAAACAAGTAGTGATCAGCAGAGACGTGATCATAGATGAACTTAAGGAATGAGATTAGACTGAGAAAGTAAAAAAGGATTCAATGAGAATCTTATGTGAAGAACCAACAAGTGAAGTTGAAAGAGAAGTTTGACAAAAAGAAGTCAGAGGTCAAACAAACACATCAAAATGAGGTTTCAATATCTTCGAGAGCAAGTAACAAATGGAAAACTGAACTTCGAACACTGCAAAACTGAGAATCAGATTATAGACATCATTGCTAAACGTATGCAGATCGAAGTGTTCAAAAGACTAAGAACAATGATGAATGTAGATAGTTTAGACACAATGAATTAGCTGGTGTATTGAAAATATAATTCTTTGTGTCAAAACATCATTTTGACAGAGTCTGTTGTTTTCGACATGCTTTGCATAAAAATTGTATAGATGTCGAAATGTCGAAGAAGTGTGTCTTCGACAAAATTTAACCCTTAACTTTATTTGTTTGTTTTAGTTGAGTTAGTTAGGTTAGTTAGAGATTGCTTGTTGTGCAAGCAATCTTAGCCTATAAATAGGGAGGTACCCTATCATTGTAATAATGCAGTTGCATAGAAAAAAATTGAATAACAACTTCATCTTGAAAGACAGAGAGAAATTCTACAGAATTATTCTTCTTCTTCCCTTTTTCTTTAAAATCCTAATTTCTTTTTTCTTCCCCAATTCATCTTTTTTTTTCTTCTTTTATTATTGATTGTACCGGGAATCATCTTACAATCAAAAAAATTAATTCTTGTTCATCAAAATTGATTTAGAATTCTGCATAAGTTTAACATAATTCTAATAAACACAACATACCTATGAAGTAGAACTCAAGGGAGGACTTCTTATCTAAACTCGACAACTCCAAGGCAATAAATTGCAACAAAATAGTGATACATTAAATGTTGACCTCCTATAACAACACTAACACAATAACCGTAAACAAACGAGCGAACGAAGAGTCATAACCAATTACTTAAGTACATTTTCATCATAAAACTACCAAGGGAGAAGAAGGTGAATAACTTTTGTTCTTCCAAAAGAAATATTACATAGTTCAAAAACATTATTTGTCATTACAAAAAAAAAACGGTTTTATATCCATTATAACGATTCTACTGTTGAGTTTGTAATAAAATAAACGTCGAATCTGTAATAAAATACACGTCGAATCTGCCATACCTCAATTTCTTTTAGGGAGAATTAAGATTTTAAAGAGACAAATTCGATTTCGGTTTTCGTCAATTTTTATATGGTGAACCGAAATGAACATTTTTAAGTTGATACTCTTTTTTTTTTTTTTTTTTTTTTTTTTTACAAACGAATTTATCTACTCATTTCATAAAGAATTTATGTCCTGGCTAATGAATAAAATAGGCCATAGCATATAGTAGTCATAAAGCATATAAAGATATTACCATCAATGTATTTAACAACAAAAAAGTTCATCCTTGCTTTCTTTAAGAGTATAAAAACTCAAATAAAGCTGCTTAGTGTGTTCTCTCTGTCACCATTGTGTGCTCTAAAAAAAGTACTCCTATATATAAATAAATATTGCCCACATTTTTATTCAGTATGGTTTCTGTGCAAATGAGTGTCGGTTCTTGGTTTCTCTGCCAAAACAGAAAATCTTTGTACTCTTCTTCTCTCTCTCTCACCATTCACCAACGACAACATAATTTGGAATATTAACAGCCACTTCTAATTCCATTCCACTCACTTTCTTCAGCATTTGCGTCACCACTCATCAATCATTCTTTATTTTTTGTTAGTTACATTCTGTTTCTTACACTTTCTTCATTTTACAACCCATCACCAAACTCACCTCAAAAAACAAACTTTCCGTTTCTTTCTTCAATTCAGGTACACTTTATTTCTGGGGTTCGAATAAAGTTTCAGTTTTTAGCGTCAGATTCCATGATATGATATTGGGTCAGAATTGGATTCGTGATTCGGTTTTGTCTATATATGAAGTGAAAGTCGATTTTTTTATTGAATTGGATTGAATTTTCAGGTACCCTTTGGATGAAGCAATTCATTGGTCCTAACTAAGATCATGATATAAAGTTGAAATATTCCATTCCATATTGTTTTCATGAATATGGTTTGTTAAGGACATTGGATTCCTTAAAAATATGTTTCATGTTCTTTTTCTCCTTTCCCTTTTATCTGCTTATCTTTCAATGCAAGACATCAAAATGGATTATTTTTTCCACCTTGAGTTACAAAGGGAAAATCATAAAACTATTGTTTCATATTTGTTGGGTTTGTGCAGAATGGAGAGCGCGAGATTAGGCCAATGGTTAAAGTTAAATCTTCTGGTGTTTGTACTGGTATTGCTCAAGGCAGAAGCAGGTTATGTACCAATAACTTACGTCAAGAGCGCGGTAACAAAAGGAGCCGGTTAGGAGTTTTCCCTTCTTTAAGCACTTATAGTATAAACGCTTCTCTTATAAGTGTTCATGAATAAGTTATTTCTATAATAAAAGATCAAATTGTTTTCGTATAAGCCGTTTTCATAAGCTATAAGCTATCCTTGAGAGCTAATGAAAATAAGCTGAAAACAGCTTCTGATAAGCTATCCTGGAGAGCTAATGGAAATAACCTGAAAAAAGCTTATAATAAGCTCTTCTGGAGAGCTAATGGAAATAAGCTGAAAACAGCTCAGCGTAGAAGTGCAAATAAATCAATTCAAACAAGATTCTGATCGTGCTGTTTACTGTTTTGATTGATGTTTATGGTAATTGAGAAATTGAAGTTTTAAATATTATGCAGTTTGTTTGGATGGTAGTCCACCAGCTTACCATTTGGATAGAGGATTTGGAAAAGGGATTAACAGTTGGTTAGTTCAATTTGAGGTTTGTACTTTTCGACAAATTGCCATCAATAATGGAAGATTCACTTTTATTGGCGATGAATTTCAATTTTGATTTTTCGGTTTTGTTAGGGAGGAGGATGGTGCAACAATATCACTACTTGCCTTGGGCGTAAGATGAATCATTTAGGTTCATCTACACAAATGGCTAAACAAATTGCCTTTTCAGGAATTTTGAATAACAGGAGATTGTTCAATCCAGGTATTCTTTTACTAGTAAATGGATCTTTTTTCTTTTCATGAATCTTAAAGTTTGTTCTAATGAATGTTGTGAATTGCAGATTTCTACAATTGGAACAGAATCAAGGTTAGATACTGTGATGGTTCATCTTTTACTGGTGACGTGGAAGCTGTAAATCCGGTAAGTTTTACAAAACTCGAGAAATTTCAAAGTCTTTTGTTTTTTATATTTTTTGTTTGAGATGGAAATTTAATAATATGTGTAAATCAGGTGACAAAGTTGCACTTCAGAGGAGCAAGAGTTTTTAACGCTGTCATGGAGGATTTGCTAGCAAAAGGAATGAAAAATGCTCAAAATGTATGAAAACGTTAATGATTTGCCACTTTTTTCTTTATTATTTTGTTAATCACTCACTAAAACTTGCAACTGCAGGCTATTATTTCAGGATGTTCAGCTGGTGGTTTAACTTCAATACTTCATTGTGATCGCTTTCGAGCTTTTATACCGCTAGGAGCTAAAGTGAAATGCCTCTCAGATGCTGGTTACTTTATCAACGCGTAAGTAGCACCTATTGTATGCTTCTTAATTAACATTTTCCTAATCTTTTTAATGTTTCTTAAATAAATTTATTTGATTCAATATGTTTCTGTTAACAGAAGAGATGTATCTGGAACACAGCACATTGAAGAGTTCTTCGGTCAAGTTGTTACGACACATGTAGTCTTCCTAACTCTCGTCTTTTACCAAATTAGATAACACTTGCATATGTTGTGTTTCCACACGCGCGCACACATAGAACATATATCTTTTCAACATTTTTATTTGAATGACGCTTTGTGAAGATTTATTTCTAGGGAGATCTAAAATATTCTAGTCTGATTTTCTCTCTATTTTAGGGATCTGCGAGGAATTTGCCGAGATCATGCATTTCAAGGCTCAGTCCAAGACTGGTATGTTACTATTTTCTCGCCTTAGCAATTTCTTTTTTGGTGTTACTAGTCCATGTTGCTACAACCTAGTGGTTTGGCCGTGCGAACGTTTTATGCGCGTGTCTGGATTCGACCCCTGGTTTTCCCGCTCCCGCGCGCCTGTGTGGTTACTCATCTGACTTATGAACTGTGTTGCAGTGCTTTTTCCCTCAATATGTTGTATCACAAATCACCACACCGATTTTCTTTGTAAATGCGGCATATGACTCATGGCAGGTTAGATTATTCTGTTGCTCAACATAAATCAGTTTATTTGACTAGTCCCGATCCTCAAGATATCACCTTGATTCAGATTAAGAACATTTTGGCACCGGGTGCTGCTGATCCTCACGGACACTGGCATAGCTGCAAGCTAGATATAAACAACTGTTCTTCTAATCAACTAGATCTAATGCAAGGTCAATATTTTGTTCTTAAATTTGTCGCGTGATGAAAACAATGCTAATTTTGTAATCACAGGTTGTGACATTACAGCATTTATCTAAATTCACTTTTGTAATTGCTTGATTTTCAGGCTTTAGAACGCAATTCCTAAGAGCATTGACTGTTCTCGGAAACTCTCCATCGAAAGGAATGTTCATAGACTCTTGCTACGCTCACTGCCAAACTGAAATGCAAGAAACATGGTTTAGAAGTGACTCTCCATTGTTGGCCAAGACAGTAAGAAGCTACATCATTCTTTTTTCTGTAATCTTTTCGCGCGGAGGCTGCAAAGTCATTGGATTCAGGTCCAAATCCAACGACTCTGCAGCCACCGCAGAGAATCCACACATGTAACTATTTTGTGTGGTTTTTGGTTTCCGCCGAATAGCTGACTTAATGCATTGCATAACATCTTGCAGACCATTGCAAAAGCTGTAGCAGACTGGTTTTTTGAAAGAAGGCTTTTCCATCAAATAGACTGTCCTTACCCCTGCAATCCGAGTTGTCACAACCGCGTTTTTCAACAAGACACCCCAGGAGTATAGATTCATTCCGTCAAAATCAATCCATATATATACATAGCATATATATAAATATATTTCATTATTCTTATAAGACCACAATTATTGGTTTTAATTAGTGATTGAATAAGAAGAAGAAAAATCATTCTTTTTTACAAATTTATCAAAAACCGCCGCCACTGCACTAAACTTGTGTGCTGGGCTGGGCGCCTCCATCATTAATTGTTTAATACTAAAGTTACTATATTCATAATAAAATTTATGGTATTTTTTTACTCTATGTTTATGCTACATGATTTGTAAGAGATTTAATTTACATGTTGTGTGAATGTTAGAAAAATGTCACCACCAAAGGAACTTCATCAGGTGCATCAGCTATAAAGTCCAGTTTTCCAATACTATCAAATAAGGTGAGTTTGATAACTGCATAGAATAGAACCAGTGTACAAATTTCACACATCAAATCAATGCCTTTAATTTAAGTGATTATAGGTTAAGAATTCATTAATAATCTAAATAATAAAAAAAGAAAAAGAAATTAAGAATTCATCATTAACTTTGTAAAAAAGAAAAGAAAATAATGCATCATTAACACAAGACTAGTGCTGTTTAAACACGCGCCTTGAGCGGCTACATTTCTTCTTCTTCTTCTCTTGAACTCTAGTTTTGTTTATTGATTTGAAATTCTCAATCTCCGTCGTTACTCGCTGTCGTTGTCACTGCGGCTGTCACCGCGATCTAAACTCAGCTTCATTGGAATGGTAGAACCGGTTGCATTATGTCTTAATTTGCATTTTTAATTCCTTATATCAGGCGCAATGGATTGAGCTTTTATGCATTAGAACCGGTTGGCTTCTATTGACGACGGTTATTCTGGTAAGCAGATCATATCAATGTTAAAGCTGTTAGTTAATCTGTGTTTAATTTCTAAATGCTGCAAATTAATGATTTTTGTTTCTGTTCTTGCAACTTATAGGTCATCCTATAAAAGCTGGTTTTTGCAGATTAAATTCAATCCAATTGGACTATTTCGCCTTAGAAGTATGTTTTGTGAGTTATGATTGATATGAACCTTGTTCCTCATGAAGCTTTTCAAATGGTGTCTGCTAAACTTTATTTGAAGAACTAATATTGCTCTGGTGGATTTCTTTTTCTTGTTTTAGAAATAATGGATTCATCAAATGGATGCAGAAAGTGCTGACCAAGAAGGAATAAAAGCCAATACATATAGACTTGAATATACTCTACCAGACAAAGAACTTCATTGTTAGGTTCAATCAGCGTAAGCTTCTCGGCTACAATTTCTCAAATCATATGTCAAAATCTTAAACAGGTGCAGAGAAAAGAATTAGCAAGGATACTAGAACTTTTCATGGACTAGTTATGTAACTCCATTGTTTTTCTCTTAATATCCAAATCTTAGTTCAACAGGTATAAATTTCTTCCATCAGCCCGACATCTCGCGCTCGCGTTATTGTAGCTGATGATCAGTTTGTTTGACAATTACCAATAAGGGCAGAACAATGTTTAGAATGAATGCTGCATTTGAAGATCTTTCTGTAGTGTATATATATACACTACTAGTGGCTACTTCCATTTACTCTTTATTTACTTTATCTTTTAAGACACAGATCATTTTGAAAGTGTGACACTTACAGTTGTACCAACGTAACTATAGTTTTGACAGTTAGATTCACTAGAAGGTATTAATAAATTTTTGTCCAACTGTCAAAATTATGTATGTTTGTGTAAACTAAATTGAACCAAAGTCATGTCTATGCTGTGCCTCTTTCGGCGTATTTTTGGAATTTGATTTGAAAAGTTTATTTTTGCATCCTGAATGTCATCATCAAGGTTTCGAACATTGGCACTCACAATTACTTGTGTGAATTTTTAGTGGTTATTACCGATTCATCTGCATAAAAACCGGAGCTGGTGTGTTTATAAAAAGTGGTGTGAAAAGCAATTCCAGGTTGCTCAATACGGCAATTATAAGGCTTTTAACAAATGGTCCATTGACTACCGTATTCAAATCCAGCATTACTTTGATAATTCATTTGTTGACAGTGCTATAAAACTAAATTATCAAACGCTTTGACCAACACCAATAGAGTTTGAATATTGCAATATGTGAGACTCAATATATTACAAACATATAGGAGTGGCTCAATACACTCTGAATATTCGTCTCAAATTTTATAAGGAGGTGTTCTTTTCACCTTTATTAGACCCTTCTCTATTCCTCCTTCTTTATTTTTTAAAAATGTTTTAAAAAAGTCATTTGAGCTCTGCAACGATTTTACCTCTACATCCATTCAACCAAATTTATATTATTGGAGTTCTTTCCAGCATCTCATAATATTCAACTAGCATATCATAACATCCAACGGCTCATTCTCATCAATCAATTACTTTTGATAAGTTTTTCAAATTTTTTTATCTTTTTATGTTTTCATTTTTAGTTTGTTTTTTATGATGCATTAGTTGTTTTAGTACATTAGGGAGTAGTGTAAACAGAATTGATAGACTATTAGAATATTCATCGAGGTTTTTTGGTGTTAGGGCAAAAATGATGTATCAGTCATGGCTTAAGACAATCGCAGGTTTGTCCAGAGATGTATCATCGAATTTCGAGAGTCTTCATATGACTAAGACAATCGCAGCCATGACTCTATATGAGTATGCTCCTCTCACCGTCCTCCGCAAAGACCTGCAAGTATAAGTGATACTGGATGATTTCGAGAGTCACTCAATATCAGAGGAGTATTGTCGGGAGGCAGCTCATGTACATTGGGCTTGTGTTGAGGGCTACTTGATATGGTTATATAGGGTGTCACATTCTATCATGACGTCAGACGCTTCTGGAGAAGCACCTAAGCCAACTAACCTATAGGTACTTAAGGTTCGGGATGAACAAGCAGACAGTGTGACATTGGTATGTCGGCATGTTGCAAATATGGGTAGAGCAGTCATAGAGTCCGGACTCTTTGAGGATGGCAATCCTCAATTGTCCCTAATGGAACACATGATTTCCGAGTTGCGGAATATCGTGCAATACAGGCGGTAGAGGAGGCCGATGGTTAGACATACCCAGTAGTTTATATTGGGATGTATTTTTTTAATTTACGGATATATTTTCGAACAAATGTTATGTATGAACTTTCTTGACTTCTTTTACTAATGTATGCTTTTTTAATTTTCATTTATATTTCATATAATTGCGTTTTCCTTTGATTTTACGTTAATATAAATTACTATAAGTTGACATCAAAAATATAAAGTGTTTGGACAACTTTGTTATTCTAATACGATTTAGGCAAGATTTCGGCGATGCATCTCCGTAATAATTCCCTATTTGTATTTTCAATGTTTTCAAAAACTTTCAGGAAACAATTCGAGGATGCATATTCGAATACAACAAATATCATATAGAGATACATCTTCATAACATATTTTGTTTAAAATGGGGCAGATCTCATAATAGCGCATTTTGGTTGTGATTTGGGTGCGTTTGGAGATGCATATTCAGACGCATGAAGGACAATTTTAGATTTTCAAAAGTGTGGTATATATAAAAGTCTAATGAGAAATTCTATTCAGACACATTGTTCATATGGTCTTAATTAGAAAAATGACCAAATGAGTAAGTCTAAATATTAATATTTAAATACATCCTTCAGACAATTATACAATTGAAGAATCTCTTAATATAATTCGAACAAACATTTATATTTATATTCAATTACATTTCAAAAACCAGTCTCAACATATTCCAGCACACCACTATCCGAAGAAAAAAAACACTTATATCTACAAATTATTTCAAACTCATTCCTCATTCAATCATTCCTAGTCAATCAATTTTGAATATTCCTTACAAATTGTTGTAGTATTTCAGTGATTTTATCGATCAAGTGACTCTAAACTTAACATTGTGATGCAATATGTGATAAAAAAAAAGTTTTTTTAACATTTAAAAAATATTTATTCTATTTGATTGATTTTAAAAATAAAGATGAATAAGAAATTAAGCATGAAAGAATAAATAATTAAAAAATTAAATAGATAATGAAAAAGAAAGAATATGCCGGAAATAATATTTACTATTTTAGAGTAAATAATACTATTTTAGAGTTCTTATGTATTTTAAGTGAACACAATTTCTCTTTATATAATAAAAAATTTGGTCAAGAAATGTTTTATTTTGGACCGGATCCATTTTAAAATTGATTAGACTACGGCTCTACTCGATATGACCTAGTAAATTATGATAGGATTTTCTAGATTTTAAGTATAATTAATTAGAAAACTTTTTTATTGATTATTAGACGAATTTGCATCATAACGAATTAGACAAGTGTCATAATTGATTAGAGAGAAAATATTTGCTTCCTAATTGATTAGTTTTTTGCCAAAATAATTTTAAAGACTATTTTAAAAACATATGAAGTTTAAAAAAAAATAGTTTAATATGTGTGCGCACACACATTGTCTTAGGACTATAAGATCTACTCACACCGAATATTACATAAGATCTTGTATGACAAATAAACAGATAAAATACGGATCATTGGAGAGTGTTTTGCAATTTGACATTGTTGCCTAGAGGAGATATTTAGCTTGGACTGTTTTTATGTGGATTAGAAGAAAACTTATCGCTTGTTGATTTGATTTACATTTACTTATTTGTTTGATAATGTTTATGATTTTTTTCACCTTCAAAATAAAAAGTACATGTACAATATATAAAACTACATTCTTAACTTATATTCCATTCATTTTTAACTTTAATTTAATGTATGCTATCTCCCTTGCATTAATTCTTACTAGGGATTAAGGTTGGTTGTTTTTGTTTTGGATTACCTTCGAATTTGGGGCTAGGATGACATGTTGTATCGTAGTTTGATAATGTCTGATAATTACTATACATAGACCCTATCAGGATTTTAATTGTCTAGCATAATATGCGTCATAATTGTTTTCATCAATTAGTTTATTACTTAAATTTTACCTCTTTTCATGTTGTTTGTTGGGTCATGTTATGTTATTTGAGTTACTTGTTAGTAATGATGGTGTTTTTATCTGAAGTCTGGACTCGGACACAGGACACGACACGGACATGGACACGAAGACCTCGCTAATGTAAAAAACATAAGACATGGACATGGCTATATATATTTTATATATTAATATAATAATTCAATTTTGAGCATAATTTATAAAAAAATTTAGGCATAATTAGTCACTGGATTCCTTAACTTTGAGTGAAGTTTCACTTTCATCCAAAAACTAAAAAACGTTACATAATGATCATTTAATTTAAGTTCTGTTAAATATTTTGGTCCCTTCCGTTAGTTTGTATCAAAAAAACGTTAGTTTATGTGAGGTGGCATGCCAAGTAAGCCAATTTAGGATTCCACATCAGCATATGTATACGTTGTCTTACATAGGGTTCCATATTTCACTCTTGCTGCTTCATTCTTCTTCCATCATTCTTCATCCGTGTTCCATATTTCAACCTATTCCATCTTCATCTTCAATTCATAGTTAAATCTCTTTCTTCCAATTTCCTTATACTATCTTCCATTTTCTTCTGCAATTTGGAAATTAGGGTTCAAGTAATGTCAAAGAGTGCAAGCAATGCCTCAACTTCAAACAACCATAGTTATGACACATCTGGATCTTTGGTTTGTAGAAACAAGAGGACCAAGTGCTTTTTCCAGATGAAAGTGTTCTTAGAACAGTGAATGATGTGAACAGTGTCAACAAGGGGAGAAAATTTTGGGGTTGTAGAAATTACAGAAACTACATTGAAAAGGTTTGTAATTTCTTCAAGTGGTTGGGTGATAAGTTTGTTTATGAAAGAGATTTGAAACTTGAAAGATAAAAGAAGAAAATTAACAAATTGAAGAATAAAGTTATGTACACTCGAGGGTGGCTTAAAATGTCCATTGTTGTTGGGATTGTAAGCTTAGGGTTGAACCTTGT